CCCCGGGACTGTGTGTGCGCCGCGAGTGGCGGCTTGGCCCAGCCGGCAGGCGCGGTTACGGCGCTAGCCCAGCCCTCGGCCCCTCTTCGCGGCCACTACCTCCGCCTCTTCCTACCTTGCCCGAGATGGATCTGCCCATGGGCCCCGGCGCGGCGGGGCCCAGCAACGTCCCGGCCTTCCTAACCAAGCTGTGGACCCTCGTGAGCGACCCGGACACCGACGCGCTCATATGCTGGAGCCCGGTGAGGGACTGGGCGCGGGCGCGGGAACCAGACCTGCGGGAGCCTGGAGGGAGCCCCAGCTGGGGCGGCGGGCGGCGCGCCCTGTCCTGCTACCCGCGGGGGAGGGGACCTGACTTGAAGGCGTACCAGAGGGGCGTGGGCCAGACCCCATCTCTTATTCTCGATTGGGGAACCTGCCCTTCTTCTGTCCCCAAAAGCACTGCAGGGCCCCACGCTTGCCCCAGACCTAGAATCCTAAGTTGGAAAAGCAGTTCCGAGACCCTCTCCTGGTCATTCCCTGCCCAAGTGAAGTTTCTCTGGGATGGGGAAGAGGAGCGTCTCATTCTTTGGTTTTTTGCTAACTGTTGGACAGTTGTGGGAGTTATCTGTCCTTAGAAAGAGTACTCAGGTTCGCTAGCAAACGTTGTGCTCAGGTGACCATCTGCGTCTCCTTAAACGGCCTACCAGCATGGTGGGTCGGCTGCTATTCGGAAAAAAATCAGGACTTGGCACATGAATCGGAGGACGTTGCTCTAGTGGAAAGGAAAGGGAGTGAAAACAGAAAGTAAAACGTCGTAAAGTTCAAGTTAATCTCAAACTCAGATCCCAGAGCTAGGCTTTCCAAGAGCAGTTTTGTTTTTCATTCCTTATGGGGCGTCTTGATTCATGCCTCTGTCTTCAGTTGCCTCGAAGCAGGTTTGTTTACATGGTAGACTCTGCAAAACCGGACAGCTCCGGATTGCAGAGGTAAATCAGTGATTGTGTCCGGAATTGGAGATCAGAATTTGCTGTTCATATTCAGGCTGTGACACTGTGTCCGGTGAGGGCCACAGCCCAGGGCTGGCAAATGATGGCCCAAAGAAAGGTTAGGCTCTTTGGGAGTTTTTGGAGGAACTGTGACAGGTTGGGTGCCATCAGACATGTGTGACCTTCAAGCCAAGACCCTAGAGTATCTCAGACTCTGCTGAGTGCCTCCCTTTTGCACACAGTCTCTGATGCCACTAGGAATGAAGAAAAGTCTAGACTGAAGCTTCCTGGCAAGTGAGGCCAAGTTCTCTGCCTCTTGGGTTGTGTGTTTACTGAAGCTCTGCTTTGCCTAAAGAATGGGAATAAAGTGAAGACTAGAAGTCTTCACTTTTGTGAGAAACACTTTGTGTTTGTCCTGCTGACACCTCCTCTGTGTTGGCCTTCCCATTGCCAAGTCCCAAAAAGGGGCAATGTGCTTTCCTGCAGGCTGACTTCATTCCACCATCTCTTCATTCTAGATCTCAAACTTCTGGCCAGAGGAAATGACCCCACATTTCTGTCTTTTATCCTTCCTTCCTCCTCTTTCTTGTTCCCTTTAACTCAGGTCGTACTCTTGCCCCAGTTGGGGGAGGAGCATCAGAGATTCTCTGGGATATTCTGAGTTTAATCCTACTAGGATGATCTGTCCTGCTCCATAATCTGCTTGCTGTTTCTGCTTAAAGATTGTGAGGCATGTGGATGAAGAATCAGCGTACCCTTTCAGGACCTGCAGTGTGTTCTGAGCAGGGCATTTGAGCAGGAAAGGCAGATTTGATCAGGCCTGTGACCAGCCTCCACTCACAATGGCTACACTACCTATGGGCTCTGTTGGCGTGTTCTTCCTGGGGAGGGATAGTTAGCAAACAGGAATGTGTTTGGTTCTGCCTGACCTGTATAAAGCAGCCATAGTTGGTACAGCTATAGGTGGTGCGCTGGTGGAGGCTAGCATGACAATGAGACAGAAAATGAGCACAGGCTCAAAGATGGAAAGAAACCCTTTCCAGGCTGGGCAGAAGTCTGTGGAGCTTCCTAGAGCTGGCTTCTCAGCCTGAAAAAGGGCGATGATAGTCCCAACATAGGATCCTTCTACAGATGCAATCCTCAGACTGCAGCTCTGAGACTTTGAGAAAGCTCTGGTGTTTGTACTCTCAGCTGCCTTCTTTGTGCTGGAAGTCACACCACCATTCTGCCAAGAAAAATCCTCCCTGTTTGACACAAGGGGATAAAGGAGAATCAGAGGCACAGTGACTAACTCTCAAGGCTAAATAACTAGGGAGAGACCTTCCAGCCCCAGAAACTCTGACCAGTGTCTTTAGTGAGCCTGGCCTGGTGTGGGACCAGGTCTGGACAAAATTATACTTTCTCTCCCTGGCCTGACAGCTGAATTCCCACCTCTGCCACTGGAGACAGAACAATAGGCATCACCCCAAAGAGTCCATGTGATAGGTACTGTGGCAGCTGCTTCATCCTTGTAGTGGTGTTTGTTTTCCCACTCTCCAAACCATGGTTCAGTTAAAGATGCACTTGGTGTGTACCCCACCCACACAGATGAGGGCCTTTAGAGACCCACTTGCTCTGCCACAAGTCCTGGAGGACAGTACAGCTCTGTCTGCCTAGAGAGGAAATTTGGCAACCACGAGATTAGAATCCAAGTAGGATAGATACAACAGCATGGGTGTGGGTGTGGGTGTCCCTCCCTTATGCTTTTCAACCCCTTGTCCCAAAGGTGCACCTGGATCTAGTGCCCAGAGACACAAAGAGGAGAACTAAATACCTGGATAAATAGGCACCTCCGTAAATAGAACGAGAGACCTTGGCCCTCCCTGTCACATCCCCCGGCATCTCTCAGCCCCTGCTTCTTCCCCTTTATGCAGCGGCTCCTCTGTCCACCTAGGAAACTCTTGCTAGATAAGGCCTTGCCGGGCTACAGCCAACTCAGGAGAGCAGCAACTCCTTTAGAGAGTTTTACGACATGGAGAAATGCTCAACATGAATGAAAAAATGAAGGCTCAGAACACTAGATACACTATCATCCCAATTTTTTACAAACTATAACTTTGTCAGTCTTTTAACAAGATTGAAAGGAAATATGCAAAGTAATCTTGGCTATTCCTGGGTGGTGAGATTACAGATAATTTTTGTATTTTTTTCTAATTTTAAAAAAGTGAATATATATTTCATAAACGAGAGTAGGAGATGTTTTCAAACTTGAGGGTCTTCTAACAAGAGACCCACCCAGCTCCACTTTCCTCTGCCATGCAGGGCCAACTGTGCCTGTGCTGGGCAGCTCAGCTGTGCACTCAGGGCTGAGGACTGGCTATGGCAGCCCAGCCCCAGGAGCCACCCAGCTGGCTGGAGGCCTAAGAACAAGACATAGGACCATGTTATTGTTCCAAATGCTGGGGCAGTTATTGGACATGCAGGTAAAGATGAACCAGACTAGTCCAAAGCCTAAGAATCAGGATAGGGTGAGACCAGAGAGGCACCTGGGTGCACAATTTAAGAAGAAACTCCATTGTAAGGTCCACCCTGCATCTGGATGACTCTAATAGTGAGAGACTATTTAGATTTGAACTCCTGGACACCTCTCTGGCCTCATCTGATCGCAACCTGATAATGAGTTTCTCCTTAAATTGTGCACCCAGGTGCCTCTCTGGTCTCACCCTATCCTGATTCTTAGGCTTTGGCCTATTCTGGCTCATCTTTACCTGCATGTCCAATAACTGCCCCAGCATTTGGAACAATCACATGGTCCTATGTCTTGTTCTTAGGCCTGATGATGCAGCTCTATTTGGCAGCAGGAAGGATTCTAGAAGGATATGCTGAGGCCCTGGGAGTCCCTGAGACTGAGAAGCTAGAGGTCACCAAGGCCTTGGGCCCATGCCAGGGCTGAGTCTCCAGGTGGGCAATCAAGGACAGAGTGGTCTTTGCAGTAAGGCAGGGGGCAGGGTGTCCATTTATGAGGAATTACAAAAGCAGTGCTACCATGGCAGATAACTGGGCAAGCTAGTTCTCAGACAGCCAACAGGACCCAGCAGGCCTACTGGGCCCTGCTCTCGAAGATCTGGCAGTTGAACTGAGATGCTGGAGGCTTGCATAGCCGTGGGCTGCGAGGCATGCTGTAAGTTCTGGAGACCCCGGAACTGGAGCCCAGGGTGCCTTCAGTAATGAGCTCAAAAGGTGCACAGCTGTCCATATTCTGCATCTCTATAGACAGCACAAGGCTCTACCTTCATGTTATTAGTTCTGGTCCACCCACAGCCATTCAAGTAAATAGCATAATTTCCATTTTATAGATAAGAAAACTGCTTATCAAAGATGTTGATAAGCTTAACAAAGTAAGAACTGGAACATGGTATGACCAAATTCAAAGTCTGTGTTCTTTCCTCAGAGATGTCCAGTCATTGCTTATCACCTGCCTTTGCCTGGCACTGTGTGATTCCTGAGTAGGTGAACAGGAGACCCTCAACCCCTGTGCCCTCAGGGCTGAGCCTTGGTCTCCCACCTGCCTTCTTAGTGAGTGGCCAGTACTGCGGCTTATAGTTAGAATTATATTTTGGATTTTTACATAAGAGTCCTCTTTCCCTTCCACAGAGATATGCAGATATACAAGGGGATCCAAAAAAACCAGAATTTTTTTTTGAAGAGAGTCCCTTGTAGTACAGGCTTCCCCCACTAGGTAAGTGTTCTAGGAACATATCAGCATCAGTGTACCAACTAGTGTTGTTGTGAGAGGCTGAATTCAGCTTCAGTGAATTTTTTTTTGGAGATCCTTTCAGTGCATTTGCCCATTTCATAATGGGTGATTTACAAGGGCACCTGCCCACACCATGGCAAGTGTTCAGCAGTTTTTGACCAAAAACAGCATGACCCCCATATCCCACCTTCCCTATTCACCCAGTCTTGCCCTGAGCAACTTTTGTTTCCCTCACTTTTTGCTGATGTAAAAGAGGTGAAACAAAAAACTGCAGAAGCACTAAAAGACATCAAAATTGACAAGTTCAAAAACTGTTTTGAGCAATGGAAAAAGTGTCTCAATAGGTATATTGCATCAAACAGAGGATAGTTTGAAGGTTACTGAAATTTAAACATGTAAGAATAAATACACAATTTTTTAATTAATAAATTCCAGAGGTTTTTGGGCCCCCTACTCATATACATACAGATGGACAGATGAGACAGGCAAAAATCTACATACAAGCTCTACACTGTGGCCTCCTGTGTGTTTCCTTCTG